TGGTCACAAGAATTACGCATGTGATAAATGCAAGAAAAAATTTGGTGATTTAAGCAATTTGAGAAGACACCGAAAGACAGTCCATGAAGGTCGCAAAGATTTTGCATGTGACAATTGTGACAAGAAATTTGGGAATCAAAGCAATTTGTTAAAACACCGAAAAATAGTCCACGAAAAGCGCAAAGATTTCGCATGCAACCAATGCGAGAAGAAGTTTGGACAAAAGTCACATTTGCTCTCCCATCAAAGGACAATCCATGAAGGTCGCAAAGATTACGCATGCGACATTTGTGAGAAGAAATTCGGAGATCAAAGCAATTTGATCAAACACAAGAAGATAGTCCACGAAGGCCGCAGAGATTTCGCGTGCGAGAAATGTGACCTGAAATTTGGAAATAAATCAGATTTGTTGAAGCACCAAAAAACAGTTCACGAAGGGCGCAAGGACTACACATGTGACGAGTGTGAAAAAAATTTTGCACATAGATCTACTTTGGTCCTCCACCAAAGGATAATACACGAAGGTCGCAAAGATTTTGCATGTAACAAATGTGAAAAGAAATTTACAAGAAAATCAACTTTGCTCTACCATCAAAAGACAGCCCATAAATGTCATAAAGACTACGCAAACAGCAAGTGCGACAAGAAATGATGATTGACAATTGAAAATATTTATAGATTTATAGATGCTCAAGCATTATTTTTTTTAAATTTCAATAAAAATTGAGCCTATCAATTACTATTACACCTTTTATATGTAGTAGTTAGTGGCATATTATTTTTGAATACTTCCGTTAGCTGCAGCTGTTCATAATGTACTATTTGTGTTTACGAGCGCTAGCAGTGTAACATCATTTAAGTTCTAAATCTTTTAAAAAGTACCTCATTTTCAAGTACTAAATAAACACTTGTGATAATAGGTATCGTTACGGTGGTACATCAACTGGATTTAAATTATTCAGTTGCAAAAATATGTTTGTATTATGCAAAACTTTCAATATTCACATAATATTCAAAATATTTAATTACGAAAATAACGGGAACACCATATATCCCTAACAAATCTGTTTAAAATTATTGTGAATAATGAACATTTATCAGGATTGATAAAACATTCGCAACGTATTTTTTTGACAAGTATGTTCCGAGAAGATTGTTTAAGTTTTAAGCAAAAAATAATGAAACTCAACCCCAAAAGCATCCGTTTTTGTAATTTTATTCATGTCTGGTTTGATTTAATTTTGTCTTCTTTTGATAAATTTTGAATTATTATGTACGTAAAATTCGATGTAACTCGATCAATGAAAGTAGAAAATCAAGCTATTTGCCTATTGCATATTTCAAAAAAGCCTCCATTTTTTATCTGTAAAAAATTACAGCATCCTGTTCCGGTGGAAATTTCAAATCGAAATGTAATATAAAAACTTTTTCAAACGTCTGAGGCATCGAATTTATTTCAGCTGGGAAATATACATTTAGCGGCAACGCCGAACACACGCGCGCGCACACGTACCGAAAGTTTTGAAAACGCATAGTAAATTCCGTGACCGATGATTTTTATTCGAATAAGAGTCAACTTCAAACAACTCAGTCACCCGATGGATCGAGCTGCAAGTCGGGGGTTACATACAATCGAATCGACGTGGATGTTTCTCTTTAATCGAGAGGAAACTGTTTCGTGTCCAACTGAAAATGATGCTCTATCGAATTCGCCTCGCAACGTGTTAGCTCGATGAACCACACACAAACACGCCTGTAATAAACGCCACTATACCCTTGGGATCTTCAACGAATTTCACTACCAGTACGTTAGAGAGCGTCGTGTTTTACAGTCGCTCATTGCTGCAGCGGTGCGTGTTCGTGCGAGTTACGCGGTCAAACGTAGGATTAATCTGCTTCGCACAGTCAGTGCAAGTTACGACGCCACTAGCTAAGCAACGAAGAAAGATCGTGTCGACGGCAGCAAGTGATTTTTGTAAAGTGAGATATATTTTAGAGCGATACAGTGTTATAAACTTCAGAACAATGGCACAAGAAAATCAAGACAGTTTGAGCGCATTGAAGAGAATGCGAGAAAATGTCAATTGGGAGATGGAAAATGAGCGACGTGAATTTTACAGGCAATTTTGCAGCTTAATCACTAATTGGCAGGGCCAACTTCCTAACCTCCGAGACATTTTTCGGCCCGAAGCAATCGAATGGCTTCTCACGGAGTCTATCACGACGATCGTGTCCATCATGAATCCGGAAACATTCGTTGACTTTGTGATCAATACCGGCTACAAAGATAAAGATTACGCCAAGCATTTGTTGCGTCGCACCACACCCATACATCGTTCGGCTAAACGTCGGTTTTCTGGCAAGGATATCGTGGTCGGTAAGCTTTTTAAAATTTACGACAGTTTCGACGTGAACTACGTCGACGAAAATGGATTAACGCATTTTCACGTGGCCTGCAAGCACGGCTGTGTCGACGCCGTGAAGAAATTTCTCGAGCTCGGGCAGGACCCCAATTGTCTCGTGCCAGAAACGGGTGACTCGCCGCTTCATTTGGCGCTGGAGAACGATAAGAAGGAGGTGGCTAAATTGCTGTTGAGAAATGGCGCCAATCTGATTTTGGCCAACGACGACGGATCGACACCTCTGCATTTGATTTGCAAGATAGACGCCGATGGCGGTTTGACGGAGATGTTTTTTGAGATATGCAGTGACAGACGTCAAACGGTAGAGATCGACGCCCGGGACATGAAAGGTCATACACCGTTGAGCCTGGCTCTGGTCAGAATCAAGAGCAAGAAGGCGATCGAAACGCTGCTGAGAAATGGCGCCGACGCGAACTTGGTCAACGAGGAAGGGAAGACACCTCTGCATATTATGATCGACGACTGGGCTGAAGAAGACGTGCTGAAGACGTTTTTGGATGTCAGTGACGCATTGAATCGTCCTGTGCAGGTCGATGCCCGAGACAACAAGGGTAACACACCACTGCATTTGGCAATACGAAACAGATATAAAGACATGGTCGAATTGCTGCTAAAACATGGCGCAGGTCCAAATGCGGTCAATCAGGAAGGATCGACTCCTCTGCACTTGATTTGCAAGGAAGATGACCCTAAATGGTTGCGGATATTCTTCAAGACTTGTGACGAGGTCCAGCAGACGGTTCAGGTCGATGCTCGAGATAAGTTGGGCCAGACACCGCTTCAATTGGCCGTGACACATATCTCGTTGGATGCGGTCGATGTTCTATTGGATCGTGGCGCTGATCTGTCCGAATTCTCTTTTCCCACCGAGAGCCTCTTCAAGCACTTATACAGCATTGTGTATGGATGCTCTAAATTGCAATTAGTGTCAAACGTTCTGCGTGTCGTCGAGCATCTCAAGGGTAAAGGATACGAGCTGGACCGAAACGACGTCCTGACGATCGCATCGTCGTTCTCCAAGTATGGATTGTTCGAGAACTCGGTGGATCTCGACGAATCTTGGTACGACGACGTAAGGTTCGTGGAAAAAGCAAAAAACATAATGATAATCAAACCGGACTTGTCGCTCTACGACCTCACCCGGCTAAGGCCCGAAGAAGCGAAAAAACTACTCGCAAAAAAGGAATACATCAGGTTTGAGAGCTCGAAAAAATTAAATGTACTCCTTACAAGGCACAGGAGGCCTTGTGCTTTGCATCTGTGCGAGAAAATATCGAGAGGATTTTTCCGGCGCTGGGCACTGGATGCTTTCTTGGAGCTGACGAACTATCAACTGCCAATACTTTGCTGTGAAATGATCATCAAAAATTTGAAGAACGAAGATTTATGTAACATTTGCCAAATTCACAAGGACAGTGAAAAAAAAAGTGAAATGGATTGTGAAAACGAAAAACCGGCGAGGGGTAGAAAAGCTCAAAAAACGCTGTAAGATTGTGTATAGTGCATAGCTATAAGAATAATTGAGGTTCTTTTTCATTCACAGTTGCATGTTTTGCTTAAAGGCTCTACGGGCCATAGTTCGTGATGGCGATCATCATTTACTTCGATGTATTTTTTAATATTTCGTTTTGTTCAATTTTTCTTATCGTACAAATAAATTAATTGAAAAAAAATTGTATTCTTTAATTTTCTTTGATTTTCATATTTGTGTTTTTATCTTGCAAACGTTCTTTAATAAAACTGCTAATTTGCTTTTTTCCATTCACCAGTGTTCGGCTAAAAACAACAAATCAACGTATTCATAATATTCAATGCACACAGCACAAAGCGTTTCTGAGCAATGTAAGCTTGGAGACTTCGTCTCTGTCGGTTTGTTGCTATTATTTTGCCTATACGATATAACTGGCGCTCAGTGTGTCATGATTGCAGAGTCAACTCCACGCGTGAAGTGGCAGCACTTGTCTGTCTATTTCAGCCGGGCCGAAATCGCAGTAACTCGCGTGAACCGAAAAAGATCGGAATTTGGCGTCTTGTTTCGGAACTAGATTTCTGATAAAATTCACGTAATTATTTCGCGATCCTGATTAGATCAAACACGCACTTACACGAAAGATTTTGATGAATTTGTTGAAAGACTGATTTTTTCTGCTAATAGACAAGTGATCAGTAATAACCATACATTCCCCTTGAAAAAACAAACTCGAAAACCATCTAATGATTCAATTTAAACTAAAAAATATTTTCTACATTTATTCAAAATTACTAAAAGCTCTATAATGGTTTTATCATTTTCTTAATACTTTTGTCAATCAAAAATTTTATATCAATGCTTTTCGAATTGCGTGAGCAGCAAATGAAAGTTTTTTGCCACTGAGTATATGAGTGTTTGAATTATCTCTTGTATGAAAATCTACAAGTATATTGAGAATCGTCATGATTATTTAATTAAAAATCTACTCGGGTAAACCACGAGAATTTCAGGTCAATTTATACAATAATATCTACTTTAATTAATCCAGATGTATTTCCAGCTAATCGTTTCAACTAATTAAATGTGTCAAAATTTCTTCCATACAGGGCAGGGTCGAGTTCAACGGAACCTACGACGAGTTCAACAAGGACGAGCGCTACCTCCATCTGATCCCTACAGCCGAGGAGTTGCAAGAGTCCCGAGCTGCCTCCGAGGAAACGGACGAAACGATGGACCCCGCCAACGGCCAAGCGGCGCCGCTCGCCGCGGTCAAGCAGCCTAATTCGAACGCGGAGAACGACGAGGCCGAGCCCGAAGAGACCGAGGAGCTCGTGGCCAAGGGTCAGCTGGCCAAGTCCCTGTATCTCAAATACTTTCGCGCGGGTGGCTCGTTCTTCTCCCTCTTTCTGCTCGTCGTCTGCTTCGTGCTGGCTCAGGTCTTCAGCAGCGGCTGCGATTACTGGGTCGGCTACTGGACCAGAAGCGAGGAGGATCGTCTGCGTGGCTACGTGAACGCCACCAACGCCTCGCAGTGCTCGCTCGACGATCTGCCTGTCGCCTGGGCGGACGACGACGACGATCGCTCCAATTCGAGTTATCTGCGGAACGACGTGGCGCTGTACGTCTACACGTTCTTCATCGTCGGCAGCATCGTCTGGTCGACGGCCAAGAATCTTCTCTTCTACAAGATCTGCATGGACGCCAGTCAGAATCTGCACGACTCGATGTTCGCCAGGCTGCTGCGCGCCCCCGCGCGCTTCTTCGATCTCAACGCCTCGGGCAGGATACTGAATCGATTCTCGAAAGACACAGGGGCGGTGGACGAGATACTGCCCATGGCCATGCTCGAGGCGCTGCAGATCTTCTCGGTGATGATCGGTATAATGGCGCAGGTGCTGCTGGTCAACTGGTGGACGGTATTTCCCATGCTGGTAATGGGATGCCTGTACTGGCAGCTAAGGAACGTCTACGTCGCGACGGTTCAGGACATCAAGAGGCTCGAAGGAAATGGTAATGCAATTGCACTTCCCTTTGTTTAAATTTTGCGGCTCGACTCGGTGATAATTATACATTTTTGTATGCTTTTATAAACTCGAATAAAAAGTTTATGACATCTCGGTTTGATTGCGTACTCGACACAGTGGTATTGAAAACCGCAGCTGAAATTTCTTTGCAGATATACGTTTAAAAAATAGTATAACTTTCATAAATTTTTATTCAATTCTCTAACAAAAGTCTCCAACTTTACACCACCACCTCTTATCAGTAATTATTAGATGACTGCCCTCGATTATGTAGTATGATTAACACACTACTTTGGCCATGTCCTTGATTCCTCTTTGTTTTTGACAGCAGCATCTGAGTGTGGTGTGTAAAATTGGAGACTGACAACCTACGCAAGCATGATCTCTTATATAGTAATCGAGAGAAATTTCTAGCCACTTGCGGGAGCCTTGGTGTATCGCTAGATAGACATCTAGCGTCGGAAAAGTTAAATTCGGCGACGAAATTGTCGCGCACAACATATTCTCTGTGCGCGGTTTTCTCGATGAATCTTCATTTTAATGAAGTTATCCAAATCGAGTCATTATTGTTTTAAACTCGAAACTAGCAATTTGAAAAAAATTGTACAAACTTTCAAAAACTTTTTTAAATGAAATAAGGTATTTGAGTAATGGATGTCTCGGAGGAATTGAATTTGAAATTGAGAGATTGATTTAAATTTCCGTTTGCCTACTTTTTTTTATAAGCTGAAATTTACATCTATCAGTAAAGGTATGAAATAAAATTACAATTATTAAAAATAATATTATGAATTGAGCAGGTAAAATTACATGTAGTTTTCTGTCATTTGATAAATTAGGGGTAGTTAATAACAACTGCTATTTAATTTTCCAGCAAAAAGTCCGGTATTCTCGCACGCCAACACGTCTCTGGCGGGTCTGCTCACCATACGCTCCTGCCGTGCCGAGAAGATGGTGTCTCGCGCCTTCGACCATCACCAGGACGCCCACACCTCGGCCTACTTCCTCATTCTCGCCACGTCCACTGCCTTCGGCTTCTGGCTGGACATCGTGTCGATCGCGTTCGTCGCCTTCGTCACCTACAGCTTCGTCGTCGTCAAGAGCCACGGCGGCATTATTACCGGATCCGACTCCGATCAACCGTACGCCGGCAACGTCGGCCTGGCCATATCGCAGTCGCTGATACTCTGCGGCATGCTGCAGTACGGCATGCGACAGACCGCCGAGATGGTCGCCCACATGACCAGCGTCGAGAGAATGATACAGTTCACGGAGCTGGAGCAGGAGGGCCCGTTCGAGACGCCGGAGTCGGAACGACCGGACAAGGATTGGCCGTCGAAGGGCCGGGTGGAGTTCAAGAACGTGTGGTTGAGATACTCCGAGGAGGACGAGCCCGTGCTGAAAAATCTCAACTTCGTCGTGGAGGCCGGCACCAAAGTGGGAATAGTCGGCCGCACCGGGGCAGGCAAGTCCTCGCTGATCTCGGCCCTGTTCCGTCTCGCCCCGGTGGACGGCCGCGTCCTCGTGGACCAGCTGGACAGTCAGCGCGTCGGTCTGCGCGAGTTGCGCGGCTGCATCTCCATCATACCGCAGGAGCCGATGCTGTTCTCGTCCACGCTGCGCGACAACATCGACCCGTTCCGCGAGCACGACGACGCCAGCCTGTGGTCGGCGCTGCGCGACGTCGAGCTCGATCGCCACTTCCTGTCGCTCGAGCAGCGGATCGAGCGCGGCGGCGGCAATCTCAGCGCCGGCCAGCGACAGCTGCTCTGCCTGGCGCGGGCCATCGTCAGGCGCAACAGGATCCTCGTGCTGGACGAGGCGACGGCCAACGTCGACCCGGCGACGGACGCGCTGATTCAGGCGAGCATCCGGGCCAAGTTCGCCGAGTGCACGGTGCTGACCATAGCCCACAGACTGAACACGGTGATGGACAGCGACCGGGTGCTGGTGATGGAGGCGGGCGAGGCCGTGGAGTACGGCCACGCGCACGAGCTGCTCCAGAGGAAGGAGGAGGAAGGAGGTTACTTCGCCAGGATGGTGCAGCAGACGGGCAACGCCATGGCTGCTCATTTGAAGAATATCGCCAGACAGGTGAGAGCTTGTTTTTTGAGACTTTTCATTCGTTCGAGTTGACTCTTTTATTCTTGCGCAAATTTTTTTTTTTTAATATCGATTTTAATTGAGAACTGTGACCATTAATTTTTCGAAGAAATATACATTAGTTAATCGTTGCAGTTCAATTAACTCGCTATTAATATTGCGACTAATAAAAACGCAAAAATAATAAATAATTCAACACGAATAATGAACGGAAAAATTTTGGAATTTAAAAAAGCTATGATTAGAAAAAAAAATTCTTTTTAGAAGTTTAATACGTGTAATTTTTTTATTCTACGATACCTTTGAGATTAATTATGCTTCATTTCACTATCCTAAAGGAGTAATTTAATTCTATTTTTGTTTTGTTTCAGGCCTACGAAACTCACCATCAAACGGACCAAGAGGATTCGGTAAACGAATCCCAAAAATGAAAGTGCTTCGTATATTTTTTATAGACACGAAATGCTAGTTTTATTTATAGAAAAAAAATGAACTTTTGATACTCAATTATTCAGATGAACACTGTGTGATTATATGGATAGACTTAAGCTTCAGATATCAGTTGATCTGAATGAAGTGGGATCAATATAGCGAGTACTGGAGCTCTCGGAACTTGCAAAAATATTTTTTGAAGTGCAAAGATAATAATTTATACATGAATAACTATGAGTGTAATGTATATTTTTAGTATTCACCAATTTAATGTAAGAACAAATTTTAATGATAATAAAATCTTTACTGTGATACAACAACAATCGGTATTTCTGGTATTTTTAATCGTGCATCGGTAAGGAAGGAAATTTATATCTGAACGCCGGAGGTAAGGTACGGTATTTTTTTTGACCATCGACGAAAATATTCTCTATGCGAATTTGAAATGCCATGAAATAAATTTTAACGTTATAAAGAACAATGATTGTTAAAAAAAAGATCTGACATATTTTGTTTAAATAAGCTAACAATTCGATATCTTTACAAAGCTAGTGTTAAATTATAACTCCAGATGGAGCTAAACTTCAAGCCTCGCGTTCGAATGGACATTTGTAAGATGAAATCTGTAAAACTGAGGTAAAACCCGTTGATGCGGACTTCGTCTGTACAAATCAACGTATACTGTTAAGACATTTGATGTCATGCGAACGCCGATTTATCTCAGAAAAAATCGTCTGTAGCAAGATTTTGTATAATTAAAAAAAAAGGTATTCTATTCAATTATTTTTTTCAAGTGCGTACATTGCGCAAGTACAAATCCGTTAGGATGTGCGATACATAATATTCACGTGCCACTGATGTAAAACACTAGAGCGACAAGATTTTTTTTATGTATTTTGACACGCTGATAACGAATACTGGACGTGATTTTAATTTTCCACACTGTTGAAAATGTTTTTCAACGGTTGCACGTACTCTGACATTTCAAGTTTTTTTTTAATTTAATGACTCTGCCACCGGGTGATTTAATTATCATAATTAATCATTGCACATAAAGATCAGAAATAAAATTTGAATTTTTTTATAGTTCAAGAACATTTACATTTCAACGGGTTCAAAATTAAAACATCAATACGGTAGTGAATGAAAGTGTAATGATAGTTAATAGCGTGAAGTTAAAATATGACTATTATATAGAAATGATTTTTATTGAAATTTTAAAAAATCGATTTAAGATTCTATAAGGTAAATGTACCAATGGCTGGCCAGTTAAGCAGCTTAGCTGAAAAGAGCTCTATAGAAATGATATAAATGAGTAATTTTGATAATAAAATACTCTTGGGTTCTTGAGAACTAATGATTTCGGACACGAGGAAATATAAAAAACTCATCATAAGCCAGTAAATAATTGATACAGTTGAATTGATCAAATATTCACATCGTGCCAATGACTGGCCAATGTAATTTTTTTCATGTACCAATGTTTGAAATCCCATGTTCCAATGCCTGGCCACCTTTTTTATAATGAGTATTATTTAAAAAAACATGCTTATTTAATGAGTTACATGTTTTTTTTGCGAATGAGTTTTTTTATACGAATATGTTTAATTGCACGAGTTTTAATAAAAACAAAAATGATTAAAGAGATTTTGTTAAGATTAGTTTTTTTATTACTTTTTTACAAATTTACTGCATTAACATAATCAGGAACATTTTAAAATCATATCGATCATATTGGCTAATAGTCATTAATATATAATTTTTGGTTTTCAAATCTTATAAATAAAGACAAAATGTGAGGTTATGTCGGCACTTTTTTGTACTTAATCGAAAACAATNTTCTGCCCTTGTTTCTCCATCGACTAAGAAAACTTTCTAGGCTCACGAACTCAGAGTGCTCTTATTGATTATAGCAACTGTTAAATTTTCTGTGAAACGAAATCAATTATGGGAGTTGGTGTATGAGATTTAGAAATAGCCCTTGCATCATAACTATTAATTTCTATTGACGGACCAATAAAGAGTAGGTCTTGGGAAGTTTTGTTTTTTAGTTTATGCAAAAATGGTAAGTAGAAGGATTTTTTTAAATCACGACAACATTAGTAATAGTTTGATATTTTTTTTTGTTTTTTAACGAAATTGAAGAATAATATATTAATTAAACAGCTCGAAGTTTTCATTGCATTTAAATGTCTCTAGATAGCTCTTAAATTATACAAGTTTATAAATTTACAAGTATTGTTAATTACACTCTGCTCTCGCTACGTCGGAGAGTTCACACTTGCGCACTCGATTACAATTTTTATACTTAAGATATACTTCGCACTAGATTCTACTTTAAGACTTTAGTTTTTAATCGCGACAAAATACAATTCGATCAAGAGAGCAATCAGTCACGATGCGTCTCGTACAAAGTTAGTTACAATAAGAAGGGCTGAGCGTTAGTTCGCATCGGGTTTATATACCCGATTTGATCTGCGCTTATCGGCAGGTGTTTCGCCACCGGTAGGCCTACGTGCGCGAGCGAGTTACCTCCTAGAGCTGGGCTTGCGAAGCCACTCTTGGGTCATTCACCCAATTATTTCATATAACTCTTTTCGCCTTATCTCGGCTATCGTGGCCTACGTGATCTAATGCGCGCATAGCTAATGCTCGAGTGTGTACATCTTCCAAAACTGAATAATATTGGCTCGTCGATAGCCATCAGCTGTGTCACCAATGCCTAGACCGCGCCTGGCTATGGTGTCGTGTGCATTTGTTAATTACGTAATTCATCTGCATAGCCTATCGTTATCTTAGTTGTTCGGTCTATCTCGTGTCTATGGCGTGGTGCTCGCGTGTCTTTTCCGATCATGTGGCGAGTGCGTGACAAGGTATTTTTATCGATACGTAGTCGCGTGCGTACACGGAAAAACTTTTGAACATCGTTCACGCTCGAGTTCTGAAAACGAATCACTCACGAGTTCTGCTGAGCTATTATCGTGATCAGCACTGAGCGCGATTCACGCTCGGTCTCGAGGCTGAATCGCGCTCGAGCCTCGTCGAGCTAGTTTCGACATTATCACTGAGTACTAATGATTTTGGACAGGAGGGAACATAAAAAACTCATCATAAGCCAGTAAATAATTGATACAGTTGAATTGATCAAATATTCACATCGTGCCAATGACTGGCCAATGTAATTTTTTCATGTACCAATGTCTGAAATCCCATGTTCCAATGCCTGGCCACCTTTTTTACAATGAGTATTATTTAAAAAAACATGCTTATTTAATGAGTTACATGTTTTTTTTTGCGAATGAGTTTTTTTATACGAATATGTTTAATTGCACGAGTTTTAATAAAAATAAAAATGATTAAAGAGATTTTGTTAAGATTAGTTTTTTTATTACTTTTTCACAAATTTACTGCATTAACATAATCGGGAACATTTTAAAATCATATCGATCATATTGGCTAATAGTCATTAATATATAATTTTTGGTTTTCAAATCTTATAAATAAAGACGAAATGTGAGGTTATGTCGGCACTTTTTTGTACTTAATCGAAAACAATNCGTGGTGCCGTTGCTGTTGGTCGTGGGGCCGCCGCTGGTCGTGGCGCTGTTGCTGTTCGCCGTGGTGCTGCACGCCGAGGTAGTGCTGCTGGCCGTGGCGCTGCTGTTGGTCGTGGGGCCGCCGCTGGCCGTGGCGCCGTTGTTGCTCGCCGTGGCGCTGCTGTTGGTCGTGGCGCCGTTGCTGCTGGTCGTGGTGGTGCTGCTGGCCGTGGAGCTGTCGCTGGTCATCGTGCCGCCGCTATCGGTCGCGGCGCCGTTGTCGCTCATCGGCCTGGTGCTGTTCGCCGTGGTGCTGCTGCCGGTCATGGAGCTGCCGCCGGCCATGGCGCCGTTATTGCTCGTCCTGGAGCTACTGTCGGTCGGGGAGCCGCTGTTGCCCTTGGCCTTGCTGCTGCTGCGGATCGACAAGCCGTCGCCCCTATGGATCGTCGAGCTGTACTTCGCGCAGCTGATGTCCTCGTGGCTGCTCATCCAATCGGTCAAGCTGCGTGCGGTGCTGGACACCCTGTTCTACCAGGGGTTGCTGATGATCGTCGTGCGAATCGCGACGCCCTTCTTCATGAGCACCGTTTTGCAGCTGCCGACGATGTCTTCGTTGAGGATGCAGAGCATGACTTCGCACCAGATGAAGAGAACGAAGATGTTCCGGAAGAAGATTTGAGTAATATTGTTTTAGATCGTAATTTACCTAATCGTATTAATGAGGACGAACGTGTAATTGCGTATTCCGAAAACTTTCATAGTACGGCTATAAATAATTCTCAGTCTTCGGAAGAAAGTTCTTTAGCTCGGTTAGCAAATATTTTGGAGCGTTCGGTGCTAAACAATACGGTTTCGGAAAGCAATTCAGCCTTGTTAAAACGGATGTCGACCGATAAGAATTTACCGCGTTTTTCGGGAGATCCATTGCACTGGCGTAGATTTAAGAATGCTTTCGACAATTCAACGGCTTCGGGTAACTATTCCCAAAGAGAGAATATGACTCGTTTATTTGATGCCTTGCGGGACGATGCTCTTGAAGCTGTAAGGACGTCATTTGTAGCGTGCGATGACGCCGAATCTGTAATGAAGGTTTTAGAGTTGCGNTACTTCGAGCGATAAACGCGTTTGGTATCTACCCCATTTTGGGGTTCAAAATGTGAATAAACCAGGAAGAGTACGGGTAGTATTCGATGCTGCGGCAAAGTCAAACAATGTCAGTCTAAACGACATGTTATTACCCGGTCCCGATTATTTGAAATCTCTTGTAGGTGTAATAATGCGTTTTCGTCAGTTTTCGTATGCTGTTGTCGGCGATACAAAAGACATGTTCATGCGAATAAATATAATAGAGGGTGATCGTGATGCTCAGCGTTTTTTGTGGCGGGGGAGAGATAGGTCGGGAGAGCCAGCTGAATATCGCATGCGCGTTTTACTGTTTGGGGCAAAGTCTTCTCCGAGTACAGCCATCTTCATTCGAGATAAAAACGCAAGTTTGTTTTCTGATCGCTTTCCCGTGGCCGTGAAAAAATTGATAAATGATTCGTACATGGATGATTTTTTAGTAAGCTGTCTTTCCTCAGACGAAGCCCTCGAAATCGCGCGTCAAGTTATTATTGTTAATCGTGCAGCCGGTTTCGAAATGCATAATTGGTCTAGCAATGACAAGAACATCAGTAAAGAGCTT